TTGGACTGCCATTTTCTTAATGATAAAATTGTCGATGGTTTTCTGAAGTTACTTCCTAGCCGACAAATTTACAGCTTGCTCATATGTTCACCAAAGCATTGCCGACTGCTGTCATTTTTCATCTTTTATCCAAGTTGGGTGTTTTGAATATTTACCACCCAACTTGAGGGGGAGTATTAGACTTAGTTGTTATTATGTTATTTTGTTACAGACCCATTGTGTATATATATCTTTATTTGGAGAATAATGAATACACGACAGACTATCTTTCTCCATTTTACTGTAATATCATAGTTTCCCTCGCAAAGACAAGCATGTATAAAATACTTTTGTTCTAAAAAATTGGTCACAAATCTTATGTGTCGTATTGAAAAAGACTATCCATGCCGATTTCTCCACTAATAAGTAATCTTATTTCACATCTTTTAAATGATTCAAGGGTTAAAAAATTTAAACTAATTCCCTCTATTTAACTATCTTAAAACTCCCCTCTCTCTCGGTAAAAATAAATAAATAGTAAATAAAATCTCACGAGAGGCGTAAAAAAGGGTTGACTCTCGGGGAAAACGGTAAGATTGATTTTTTTTTTCTGATGAAAAAATGATTTTTCCCGACCTTTAAAAACTCAAGTTTTCTACCATTTTACCTATATAATTTTTATGTGAAATTACACATCACACTTTGTTACTTTTTCTTTTTCTTTGGTTTCTCTCTATTCTTTATCTCTTCCCACAACTCCAAAAAAATATGTCTCTATTCTTCTATTTCTTCCCATTCTTCATTTTCTCTCTCTGTCCCCAAAATTTATTTTTTCCATGAAAACGCTACAATCTCTTATTCTCTCTTATCCTCCTTTTGAATGACAAGGGGCACCTAAAAAATAGTTGTTATTTATTTTATGGTAAGATATTTTATGTATATAATTTGTGAACTAAAAAATGAGCATAACTTTCTTTGACTTTTTTCCTTGAGATTGAGAAAAAATGGTTTCTGGGTTTTGAAGTACTGTGTAGTCTTCTTTTCTTCCAACTGCTGCAAAATTTTGGGTGCTGCTATCACCACTATCAGCGTCACAAGTCCTCACCAACATTGAGTGTGTAGAGTCTTCAGCTAAGAGCTAAAGCGAGAGAGATCTGAATCAAAGTTAAAAGAGATCTAAGACAGGGAGATCAAGGTCTGGTCGAGTGCGAGAGCGAGATCTAACCAAAAGCTAGAGATAGAGAGATCGACACTTGATGCTTATTGAGGGCCAATAAGGAACCGGCTGCATGCTATGGAAGGCATGGGAAGGGAGACGAGTTCGAGGACGACGGGCTTGAAGATCTTAAACATGTGTCCGAGCCCGACAAAGATCGAAGTCGTTGGAGAAGAACTTGTCATGTGAAGTTGTGATGAGATCGAAGCCATGAGAGGTCTTGGCCTTGATTTCGGAAAGAGCACCAAAAATGGAGTTGAATATTAAGGATTAGCGATGAGTTTTCCATCTTTATCTTTTTTTTTTTCCTATGAGTTTGGTCTTTTACAAAAGAGAGAAAACAACTTTCTTTCCTTAATTTTCTTCACCACAATTCAGCTCTCTTAGAAGAAGTAAACCTTAATCTTTTCCCACTCTCATTGTTTTTTTTCTTTTTTTCTTTTTTTCTTTTTTTTTGTCATAATTGCTTCGAAAAACTGTAAGAAGAAATATGGAAACTAAAAAATGGAGGGAAGGAGAAAGAATAATGGCTAGAGGAAGAAAGAGAAAAATAAGAGGAGATGTAATTTGGGAGCAAGGAAAGGAAAGGCAATATGTAATTTTACATATAAACAGTGAAAAGAGGCTGTGAGTTCGATCCTCATATACATAAAAATGAAATAGGTATAGGTATATAGAAAACTTAAATTTTTTCAAATAGAGTAAAAATCTACTCAGTCCAAATTCTCATTCCATGATAATTTTGGAATGATAATTTTGACTGAAATAAACAGGTCCTAACTACCTATTACAGATTTTTCTTTTTCTATTTTTGATTTGCTTGATGCATTCATTCATTTTGTTCTAACTTATTTATTATTATTGTTTTTACTCGAATGCATCAATGTTTTATTATTATTTTTTATTTTAGTATTATTGTTTCTAAACTTTACCAACCTTAAAAGTAATTTTGGAATAGCAAAATCAATTTTTTTTCAAATATAATATTGCAAATCTAATTTAATTATCTATCTTTCTAGACCTACAAAATTAATCTCTACCAAACAATTAAAATTTTACAAAATATCTTTCAAAAGTTAAAACTTTAAAATAAATATTATCATAAGTGTTAAGACACCGTATTTGGTTTGATTCAAATTTTATTATTTTTATTTATTTATTATTAACATTAATATTAATATTTTATATTATAAAATTTTATTTTATTTGTAAAAGTTTAAGGTAAGGTTTTAATTAAATTTGAAAATAGATTTTGTTTTAAAAGAATTTGATTTATTATTAAAATAAATAAATAAATAAGATTTGATTTTAAGTAAATAAAAAGATTTGTTTAAATTTAAAAAAAAAAAACTTTTTTTTAATAAAACTGATTTTGATTCTGTTTTACTCGTCAAAAATACTATAATTTTCACCCTTCTCATTGTTACCGTTGCATTTTTGCTTATTTAAAGAGGGAAAGGGACAGATTAGGGACACAAAAAAATACAGAAAAACACAAAAACAGGGAGAGCCATGCAGAAAAAATAGATTTTTTCCCTTTAGGAGAGTCCTTCTCTCTCTTAAACCCACAAAGAATCCCATTTTTCTTTCTTCCCTCCTTCCTCTCTCTAAAAGCTCACCATCTCCATCTCCTTCCTTTTTTTTTCCTTCTTCCTTTCTCTAAAACCCCCCACATTTTTCCTCCATAATATTTCTCTCTCTCAAACTTCATCTTCTACCTCACCACCACCATTCCCTCTTACTATCTCTTCAAAAACCTATCTTCTTTTACATTTTTATTTTTATTTTTATTTTTTCCCTCTTTCCATCTTCTCTCTCCAAACACCCATTTTCTTTTCGGTTTACTTTATTTTGTTTTGCTCCTCTCTCTACAACCCATTTCTCCCCTCAAACACTCATTTTATTTTCCTTTTTTATTTTATTTTTTTTCTCTCTCTCTACAGCCCATTTCTCATTCCATCTTCTCTTCTTCTACCTCCTCAATTTCAAGCTCCACCACAACACCCACAACACCAATTCCAGCGGCAGCATAGGGACTTCACNCAGCACAGGAACTTCGCCGGCGAATCGACATTCCGGTGACCGACGGTACAGATCGGCGGCACCCACGTAGCGGTGACAGTAACGTTTCGACAACAAACTCCGACAAACACAAATCCGACGATTTGTAGCAGTACGATCTCGAAAAACAGTGACTTCTAGCGACGAGAGCAACTCCCATTCTGGTGACAATGGACTCCGGCGACGCAGAGCCATTTCAGCCTCCAATGGGGGTGAGATAACCTCACGAGCATTGTACGCCTACAGCGGCAGGACCCGAACGGCACCACAGCTCACTGGTAGTAGCCATAGATTCCGGTGACCTCCATCCTTCCTCTACTGAAACAAAGGTAAGAAATGTGAGTTTTGGTTTGCTGAAAATCAAAGGAAAAGAAAGTTTTTTTAATAAAAGGAAAAAAGTGGTAAATTTTTTTTAGTCTTTCCTTAAACGAGGAGTTTGTTTGGAGGGATAGTGTTCTGTCAGAAACTTTTTTTTTTACTTTTAATTAAGCTTTTTTAAAAGAAAATAAAGGTTTTGTAAATGAGATTTATTTTAAAACAAAATATTTTTCTTTGTAAATCCTGTAAGTTTTAAAAGGAAAAATGTTTTAAATTTCAAACTTTCTTTTTAAATAAATAAATAGTGGACTAAAAATGATTCGTTTGAAATTAAAAGATTTCGTTTAGAGTTTTTTTTAAACAAAATTAAAAAATACAAAGTTTGTAATTTAAAATGGAGTATAGTTTAATAGTTTATATCTTAAGGTGGTGGTACGTTGGTGAAATGTTGGAGTGTCTTATGTCGCAAGTTTTTAGAGCCTTTCAATATTCTCGAGGTGTCAAATTTTTTCTAATGGTCTTCCTGCCACTCATACCTATTAATTCACAAAATGAAAATTAATATAATATGAGACATTTAAAATAAAATAAAACATTTCTTTTTTTTTGGACCAAATAAAATAATAGGATAATTTTTGATTCAGTCGACTCCCGGACCAACAATCTTTTTTCGCAGACATTCTCTTTATTGTTAGATGACCAATCACACCTCATAGATGATTAGTGGCGACTCCAAACCCTTATCTCGGAAGAGACCTTTCAGGGATGACGTCGGCCGCTCCGCGTCGCGATGACGTTGCGACAATAAGAAAAACATTTAACCACTGGAAAAGATTTTAACATCAGGTAAATAAAATTCACGAATAATATAATTTTAAGCAGAATAAATATTTATCTTATTTAATTATTCTTAATTAATTTATGAAACTATTTCTCTATTATTATAAAAATAATTTTAATTTTTAATATTTGGTAACTTTAAATAGTAATAAAAAAACATTTTTTTTTAAAATGATTTTGTTATTCCAAAACTATATTTGAGGGATGTATTTAGGTAAATTTAAATAGTAATAAAAAATAAAACATTGACACATTCAAATTAAAAGAGAAAAAGATATTTAATAGTTGAGAAGCTTGAAACTTATCCTTCAATTGGTTTTCATGATAACAAGAATCATTAAGAAGAATTAAATATTATAAACATTGTTCTCCCTAAAATTACATTATTTAAGAATTTTATTTAGATAATATTAAAGTCTTCTCATTTTTGAATTTGAAAACTATTTTTAGGAGATGCGCAAAGTTTAAAAATAATAATAAAAACGACCCTACTATTTCAGAAAATTCAGAAAATTAGAAATCTTTTCTTGGTCGCCACGCATGAAAATTCTTTTATAACTGAAAAGTCTGAAATGCAAATGAAACTCAAATTTTTATCCAAAACCGTTTATTAAATCTCTGCTTAGCACCGCCGTCAATCTCGCCTCTGATTCCGCCGGCGACTGAATTTTTCCGGCTTCGATGGCTCCTCCATGCCTTCTCGGTCCGCCGGAGCTCTACGCCCCACTCCAACAACCTGAATCACCACCATCAACCGCCGGCGACCCCTTCGTGGATGCACTGGTGGCCAACTTCAACAAAATCGACGGAACTGCGGCACCGCCGATGGGATTCACGGAGAATATGTCGGCGACCTTCCTCTCCTCCGGTAATCCTTGCCTCGACTTCTTCTTCCATGTGGTTCCCGATACGCCGTCCGATTCTTTGACCGAGAGGCTGAGATTGGCTTGGAATCACAATCCGTTGATGACGCTGAAGCTAATCTGTAATTTGCGAGGCGTGCGTGGCACCGGAAAGTCCGATAAAGAGGGATTTTACACGGCGGCGCTCTGGCTCCACAAATTTCATCCCAAAACCCTAGCAGGTAACATTCCTTCTCTTGCTGATTTCGGTTATTTCAAGGATCTGCCGGAGATACTGTACCGGCTCCTTGAGAGCTCCGATGTGAGGGCGAATCAGAAGGAGGAGTGGTTGGAAAGAAAAAGAAGTGGTAGGAAGAGGAGAAGGAGATCATCGATTGGGAGAGGGGCGGTTGGTGGAAGGTTCATGCAAAATAAGATGAAATCGAGGAAGAAAGGAATCCAATCTTCTACGGACAGAGATGAAAAGATTTCAAAAGCCATGGAGAGACAGAGGATAGAGAAAGAGAATGCGAGCGCGGAGAGGAAGAGGATGAAGGTTTCGATGGCGAAGAAGGCTGTGGAGCGTTACCAATCGGATCAAAATTACCGTCTCTTGTACGATCGAATCTCTGAATTCTTCGCGGATTGCTTGAAATCTGATCTCCAATTTCTGAGCTCTGGAGATTTGAGGAAAATCAGTCTCGCTGCGAAATGGTGCCCTTCCGTCGATTCATCCTTCGATCGATCGACATTACTCTGTGAGAGCATAGCGAGGAAGGTTTTCCCGCGGGAATCGGATCCAGAATACGAAGGGATTGAAGAATCGCATTATGCTTACAGAGTCCGCGACAGATTGAGGAAACAAGCTCTGGTGCCGCTCCGGAAGGTGTTGGAGCTGCCGGAGGTTTACATGGGAGCCAATCGGTGGGAATCAATCCCTTACAACAGAGTAGCATCTGTCGCCATGAAGAACTACAAGGAAAAATTCGTAAAACACGACGGCGAACGATTCGCTGAATACTTGAAAGATGTCAAGTCTGGGAAGACAACGATCGCCGCCGGGGCATTGCTTCCCCACGAGATCATAAAGTCTTTGGACGAGGATGGGGAAGACGGCGGAGAAGTTGCAGAGCTTCAATGGAAGAGAATGGTGGATGATTTGTTGAAGAAAGGGAAGTTGAGAAACTGCATTGCTGTCTGCGATGTCTCTGGAAGTATGATTGGGATTCCCATGGAGGTTTGTGTTGCTTTGGGTCTGTTGGTTTCTGAACTGAGCGAAGATCCATGGAAGGGGAAGGTGATCACATTCAGTGAGAGCCCCGAGCTCCATTTGATAAAAGGGAACAGTCTGAAATCGAAGTCCGATTTCGTGAGGGAGATGGAATGGGGAATGAACACTGATTTTCAGAAGGTTTTTGATCAAATTCTGAGAGTGGCTGTGGATGGGAAGTTGAAGGAAGAAGAGATGATAAAGAGGGTGTTCGTTTTCAGTGACATGGAGTTCGATCAAGCATCACCCAACTCGTGGGAAACAGATTACCAACTCATAACCAGAAAATTTGCACAGAAAGGGTATGCATCGGCTGTTCCACAGATTGTGTTTTGGAACTTGAGACATTCATCGGCGACGCCCGTGCCCTCGACGGAGGAGGGGGTGGCGCTGGTGAGCGGATTCTCGAAGAACTTGCTCAACTTGTTTCTGGATGGCGACGGCGTAATCCAACTGGAGGCGGTCATGGAGATGGCCATCTCCGGCAAAGAGTATCAGAAGCTTGTTGTTCTTGATTGATCAACCAAACCAAGGTACGTTAGATGTAATTTACTTTTGATTTTCACCTTGTTTTGTTTTTACTTTTTGAGGTTTTTCCATAGAAAAAAAGGGAAGGAAAGAAATGCAGAAGTTAGTATGATCAATGAATAAAACTTGGTAATATGGAGTTTATGGGTGTGTCCACACTTTTAGAATTGAAATTGAGCAATTATATATTATGATCCAAAAACTTTATGAAATATTTGGAATGAACTTTAGTGTTATAGCTATCAATTCTGTCCATGAAGGAGAGCTGTACATGTACATGGTTCATAATTAAAAGCAAACAAATAAATTTGGAGAGATGATTTCAAACAGAAAAAGGCCAACAAAATGGCAAATAGCTACTAATTTTTCAAACAGAAACAAATAAAGGCCAGAAATGATCGGGGCTAATTTTAAAATTAATGTTATTTAAAAAACAAATTACAAAAGTAATGTAGAGTTCAAAATAAATGTAAATTAAAAAAGAAATTTCAAAATTAAAGTAGATATTAAAAGTATTGACAAAAAACTTTTCTACTATTAATTTAATTTAGTCCAATGAAGAATGAAAGAATAGTTTATGACGGTTTAAAAAATTTTCAAATCGAAAATCGCCTATAAAGTTCCTCCAATTTTTCCCGACGATAAAAAACTTTTCTCGATTAATTTAATTTACTCCAATGAAGATTGAAAGAATAGTTTAGGACAGTTTTACAAAAAAAGAATCAACTCGTTCTTTGTTTACAAGAAAATTGAGCTGTAAAAATGGATGATTGCACGAAAAAAAAGAAAAAGGAAAAAAGAAGCTAATTAATAGGGAAAAAAAGTAGTCTCAGACTAAACTAATAAGGAAAATGGAAATTGAATAATGAAAGAAATAAATTGTTCAACGGACAAGGGAAATCGCAGGCAATGGCCACGATTCCCCCTCGGCTTCCGCCTGGCTCCTGCTTGTGGTGTTGGGGCCACGTAGTTCTTGAAATCGTTTTACGATAAATTACGGCCGATTTCAAGAACCTATTTTTGGAATTTATTTTATCACTTCATAATTTCTGTAATATCTTTAAACATATACATTAACAAACTCAAAGCACTTTTAAACACTAATTGGGTCTTGTGATTTAGTTTTGGGGTCATTTTAGTCTTTCAAATAGTGCTTTCTTAATTATTTTTAATTATTTTTACTTTCTTTTCTCCATTTTAACCGTGTATTTTTTTCTCCTTTTTTTGTATTTTTGAGATTACTTTTCTTTTTTACTTTTTTATTTTTGGGTTAAAAAATATATTTGATTACTTAAGCTAAAGTATCATTGAATCCCTAAATTTAAGTTTGTAACTTAACAATTTAGTTTTAGTTTAAATTTTGTATTCCCTGCTGTGAAAAACCTTATCAAAATTAAGTGTGACTTTTAATTTATAAACATACATTTAGTTTCTCATTGATTTATGGATCTACATATATAAAAACTTTAAAATAGATTTTATGATAGGGATTAAAGCGTTGCAAAATTTAAACTATTGGGATTAAATTTTTACTTATTAAAATTAATGGACTAAATTGTTACCAATTTATAACTATATGAACTAAATCGTTAGAAAGTTCAGGTACAAAAATATTTTTAACCCTTTTTTTTCCAATCTTGATTTCAACTCACTATATTCAATAAAGTTCCTGTAATGTCGTCCTAGCTTTTCCATTAAAGTATATAATTTTGTTAAAATTTTGTAAATATTGATCAAAATGGTCAAAAAGTATAGGAACTAAAATGAACTTTATGAAAATATATGGACTAAAATAACCAAAATTTGAAAAATAAATTGATTAAAATGAATATTTCAAAGTAAAAAATCAAAATAAACTAAAACTATTATGAATTTTTAATTAAATAGATGCCCACTAACACTTGCTTAGTGTCCAATTTTGAGGTGTCTCAAAATTCATGCTCCATATGTCCTCTATG